GTTTGTCGCGCTAGCTAGCAACAGCTACAGGTTCATTAAAACAGCTACAGATGACCTGACAAATATGAGCTAAAGTTTCATTAAAACAGCTACAGATGACCTGACAAATATGAGCTAAAGTTTCATTAAAACAGCTACAGATGACCTGACAAATATGAGCTAAAGTTTCATTAAAACAGCTAAAACCTGTCCTCATGTCACTCTCAGGTTGTCTCTAGTCACAGACAGGTTCAGGTTCTGACTGGTCCAGACCCAGTCAGACCCAGTCAGACCAGTCCGGACCGGTGGACTCACCCACTGTGGCCACAGTCTCCAGCTCGTCCAGGCTGTAGAGCCGGTGGTTCGGTTCCGGTTCTGTGGTGGTGTCGGTGTTGACAGCTGCCATTGTTCGTTGTCTCAGCTCTATGTGTGTGAGGAAGTATCCAGCCGAACCGGTCCACAGGTGGTACCGTTCATCTCTGGGAGGACCGGAAAGGTTCTGTTCGGAGCACCAGGTCCACTTCACCGAACCCCCCCACACCGGAGCCCCCCTGAGAGACAAAGAGCCGGGGACAGGACGGGACTGCTAACTAGCATTARCAGCTAACCGAGCTAGCACCGGAGAACGTGGACCGGGTCAGGACCGGAACCACGGAGACCAGTCCCGTTAAGGAGCCTGGAGCGGGTCAGGACCGGAACCAGTCCCGTTAGCACCGAACAGTTTATTCATTAACCTGACTGATCGGTACCAGGCTCTGCTCAGCTGCACGGACCTCACCCAGCACTTCCTGCTGCTCCGCTCCAACCGGAAACATCAAGCTAGCTGCTCACTTCCGCTCTGGACTGTCAAAATAAAATACGACACGTCAGGTTGTTTAAGAGAATACAGACTGAGGTTATTTATAAATATATTAATGTTGTGTTTTACATTTAAATAAAGACTTCATCTTATAAACGTGTCTGTATCTGTAAGATAGAGAAATATAAAAAATGTTTGTGTTTTATACTGTTATACTTCCGGTGTTTTCTGCCCCTCTGAACACACCTTCRCACTGAACAGGAGACAAACTGCATGTTGACAAAATACAACCAATCAGGACAGAGCAGTGCTGGCACCTTAGCCAATCAGGTGAGAGGGGGCGTGGTCAGACAAAAATAAATAATTAAAGGAAAAAAGAGCAAAAACCTGAACGTGTCGGGAAAACATGAACAGATACAGACATTACAAGCCTTAATGAAAGAGAAGTATTAATTAATTTAATTTATTAATAATAATAAATTATGATATTTTAAAGATAATAACTCTGATAAATATTGTGGTATTTAAACCTCCAGGAGCWGGTTACTGTACACAGAATAAAAACACATTAGGCTGGTTGTCATTAGTAATATTAATGCATCTCAACAATGATAATTAAAGTTAGTGAAGAATGGCCCTCATGCCCTGGTGATGGCCCAGTCTGTGGGGCCAAACCAAGAAACAAGCTCCAGTTCTGGAGCACCTGGTGAATCTGGACTTCGGTCACATGTAGGGTCTGGAAAAAGAAAGCATCTGGAGGACTTCTTGTTCCTGATCAGGAGGTGGATCCACAGAGCTCCTCCTTATCCTCAGCAATGAGGACGTTGCTTCGGTCAGTTGTGGTRAAGAAAGAGCTGGATCTAAAGGCAAAGATCTGGACTTACTGGTCTGTCTGAGGTCCAGACCWCAGCTGTGGTCCTGGGTCTGGATCATGACCCAAATAACCAGATCCTRGATCCAAGCAGCYGAAATCATCTTCCTCCCTAAGGTAGCTTGGCTAGGCCATATGAGACGGGCTGGAGCTTTGTCAAGCAGCAAAAGACTAACTAAAAGCTACAGCATAAAGTAGCTAAAGGCTAGCTATATTTGCAAAATGGTATGCTAAATATAGATTGATGGCTAAACGTAGCCAAAGACTATTTAGAAGTTAAAAGCAGCGGCCGAACCACTAGGTAAAAGCTAAATGTAGCAAAATGCTAACTAAAGTAGTTCAAAATGTCCTGATGCGTCTCAGTAATCCAGGTAAAAAATCAAAAAGAAAAGAAATGTACAGGTCCTCTGGACGGGTTCTTCTTTAATGAAACGTTTCGTCTCTCCTCCAAGAGACTTCTTCAAACCCCAAAACACATTACGGCAAAGGCTGGTTCACCCCAAAGATCCGGTGCCCCGGCACAAACAGAGCAATGT